TTTAAAATATTATAATAATAGAAAAAAAATCTGAAAAAATTACATATGAAAGGGAAAAGCTTGCAGTTTATTACGCCGCAAAAAAATTGAGACTATCCTTCTTACTTTCCGAGTTATAAGCCATTATATGAAAAATGGTGCGATTTCGGCAACCTTACCCTATATTCAATAAAGTTTCTTGTGTGGAATCGAGTCTCTAGTTCTATTTGAAACAAATATTTTGATGTAAAAATTAAAATGAAACACCCTGTATATAATAATATTATATAAAAAAAATAATCTTACGCAGTAACGAATATGTAATTATTGTGATCCATAATATCTTGCCCCAGATAATTGGCAATAAACATGTATAAAATACTGAATATTACGAATATAAGAGGAAATAGAAACTCATTGACGTTATCCTCAGATGTATCAATCTGAAAAATCTAATATACGAATTTTATTTAAATATTATTTGCACATGTGATAACATAATGCATTATTCTACTAAATGTTAATCCTAAGTTGTATAATTAATGGAATATGCTAAGTTGTTTAAATATTAAAAAAATATTATTAATATAAATATTACAAATAATTATAAGATAAAATTTATATATGAAACTTTTTAATCCGAAGAAAAATTCTTGAAATAGCATACCTTAGCTAGCCTACCTACCTATAGCAGTAAATTATAAATTTGTAAATCTCATATCACATAAATGTACAAGTCTTTTTAGAAGTTTGAAACTTACTCGGAAGAGGTTGAGGCTCAAACAGATTACTCCAACTGTTATTAAGCAGAATAACATTGTCTCAAATTTAGATACCATCAGTTTAGATAATCTTCGAGCACACAAATAAATATTATTGTATTATTTATACATATATGAATATTACACTGTATCGATACTAACTTCATAGCTTGTCGATGAATATCAATGGCATATATTATTTCTTTAAATATCAAATTTTCGTTCTTTAATGTATTATTATTTTGAAGCATATTTATTCTCATTACGCGTTCAATACGATAACTACAAAGAATACGTTTATCACATACCTAACTTATCTCTTTTGCTTTTTAAAAGTAAAATCTGTAGATTCATTCAAGATTATTACACACATTTGTTTATAATTAAAATTTTTGTAGGTTTGTCTGAGTTTGTTTTATACCTTGAGATGCTAAACATTCCACAAACATGTTGCAAATATGCTATGAGCATCGCTCCTATTGCTATCATCACGATACTTCCTATGCTAAAAGCTGCATATGTATGCAACACGATTAAATAAAAATATTTTTTTTGATCGATAAAATATTCTGTTGTAATAAGTAGATTACGAGATTGAGATATGTTTTTCAATAAAGCGTTGCCAATGATACTCGTCCAAAATTGGGCAACAATTACAGTAGTTACGCTACAAGCTGCAAGTACTAGAAAAAATTAGAAAAGATTATCGTACAAATTTCATATAAAAATTGAATTGCTCTTTGCTAGAATGGAAAATGTACTGATGTACAATAAAAAATTTATTTTACTTGTGAGTATAACCGTGTACCATTTGGCATTGTAGCTATACTTTTCTATAATAACATTTTCATATTCATCTTTTAGATCGTTGTATATATGTTGAAGTTCCATCAATAAATATTTTACCTGTCAGTTCAATAATTTAGTTTATGTTATCCGACAAAATTTTCTAATTATAAAAATATATTTCAAAGAATTGGATAAATACGGACGTTGGGAGTCAGGCGCAGAAGACGTCGCTCAAATAATACACTTATGAAGCTTGAAACTTTTTTATTCAACAAACGCGCTTACATGTTTCGGCTCATTTTTCAGCCTTCCTCAGAGCAAACACAAACTAACATGTATAAAGTAAAAGTTATCTTGTCATGGTGACCTCTCCTACATCGAGAATTTAAATTCCAGAATTAAACAAAAGGAAAGAAAAGGAAAATGAGAATGAGTTTGAAGAATAAAGAAGCTTCATAAGTGTATTTTTTGCGCGACATCTTCTGCGCCTGACTCCTAACGCCCGTATTCTGTCTTCTTTTATTTATAAGGAGTCTTGGTTAGTTTGATGTGTTATACGAAAAATATATTTTTTAGAAGTATCTACTCACAAACGGAACGAGAACGTCTGTCATAACCAACTTACATTTTCGATATTAACAGCAAACGAGATATATTTTATCACAAAGGTAATGGAGAAAAATACGGTAGAAAGTATTTTAATGACGAGGTCGGCAGTATGCTTGATGGTTAAAAATGCGGTTAACTAAAAGCAAAAATTGTATTACGAAATTTTTAGTATCAAGAGAAAATTTTTCGTTTGTTTTGTCAGATAAAAATTTTCATATCTATGTGTAACTTTATATTTTTAATGTACTGAAGACGGTCAAATATTAACCGAAATGTTTATTGATTTTATATTAAATACATGTTTTAAGCAAATTACATCAAGCGTTGTGGTTGTATGCTCTTTATTGTTTATATTTGTATTACGAAACTTGTATTAAAATATAATTTCTTTGAGTATACAGGGTGTTTGGAAAATAATGATAAATCTTTCGTATAGAGGCAGAATGGCCTAAACTGAGAAGAAAAGTCCTCTACCATTTTGCAATTTTCGCAATAGTTAGCGAGATATTAATTGTTTAATATTGCCGAAAATTGGTATTCAATAATTTTTTACTCAAATACTATCAAGTTTACAAAAAAACTGTAACAGACAAAAACTGTAACGATTTATTATTATTTTCCAAATATCCTATATATTACAATTTTTAAGTTATTGATTCAAAATTATTAACTAAACTTCTAAATATTTAATATAGGAATAATGGAGTCAATATATCGACAGGGCAATAAGAGTTAAAAATTATAAAATTAAAAATAAAAATTATATGTATTTAAGAAAAGACCAATTATTTTAAACTTTACAAATCTTTATATTACACTCAGAGAAAAAAGTTATATCAGTAACTATAAATTTGTAATGAAATAGCGTCTTAACTATATACATATTATTAAATTCTAATAAAAATACTAGATTAAGCGAACTAAGAAAATATAGTAACATTAATTATTTGATCAATTACAAATGGTTAATATTACTATATTTTCTTAGTTCACTTAATTTACTTATTGTTCTTATTAAAGCTTTATAATACATAGTTACAAATTTGTGTATGTATTTTTTATTTATTTTTGTCTTTCAAGTTCGAAATGCCTTTTATTGTAAGCTGAGTGTTTTTCTTTTTGGAAGAAATTGAATTCCGTTACGTCCCTTTGGTGACAATGCCGCATACTGCTCGTGCTGAGCGACTTTAGAGAAAAGGTTTATAATGTATTCCTTAAAGTTTTACCTCAACAATGATTAATTAGTTATATGATATAAAGTATTTTATTAAAAAAAAGTTTTTGTCTAAACTATAGAAAAATGTAATTGTTATGTCTATTTGCATAAAGTCCAAGTAACTACTCAATGTAGTTGAGTCACTGTTTCACTATCAATTAATAGTGCATTCAGTTTGTTACCGTGACTATATTTTTATAACATTCAGCACTACTTCAGTTTCTGTTACTTCGTAAAACTAGTTACAGGTACTTCAATTGCAAAAGAGTTGCCAAATTTATAGTTGTCAGAACTATTTCGTTTTCTCTAAGTGTACAGAAATAGCAAGAATTCACATAACATGTTTCAGCTACAAGATTGAGCCATCTTCAGATGTATAAAAAAAATTACAATTTTTTTGGAGAATAACTTGAAGACGCAGTAAATAATTAAAAATTAAAATGATCCGAAGATTTTGAGAAGCCGAGTGAAAATAAAAAAATCAGAGCATCAAAAATTGCTCACAAACGGTTGAAAGACCGTGTGGAGAAAACATCTGGATATTCTAATGTAAAAGTTAATTTGTTACAGTTATTAAAAAAAAAGAAACTTAAATAATTAAGCAAATTCGCTACTCTCTGATAAAAAACTCACCCGTGAAATCAAAGGTTTGTCGTAATCGTTTGCATATTATAACTCTAATGCACACGTCAATTAGTGGTATAAATATATATAATCAGACTTTGTAAAATTAAAATGATAAATATGGTAATTGTCAAGAATTAAAATTGGCCTCCAAGTTATTAAAATAAAATAAAATAAAAGCAAGATAGCCAGATGCTCTCTCCACGGTCTTTCAACCGTTTGTGAGCAATTTTTGATGCTCTAGGAAGATTTTCACTCGACTTCTCAAAATCTTCTGACCATTTCAATCTTTAATTGTTTACTGCGTTTTCAAGTTATTCTCCAAAGAATTTGTAATTTTTTTTATACATCTGAAGATGACTCAATCTTGTAGCCGAAACATGTATGTAAATTTTTGCTATTTTTGTAATATAAAGATTTGTAAAGTTTAAAATAATTGGTCTTTTTTTCAGTACATGTAATTTTAATTTTTAATTTTATAATTTATGACTCCTATTGCCCTGTCAATATATTAATTCTGTCACTACTATAAGAGTCCTTTACTTTATTATTCTTCATATAGAAAGAGGCCTTATATCTAAATAATTACAGTATTTATAGTATATAATAATCACTTTTAAACATATAAATCAAGATATGTGTTAATAAATGTGTTAACAAATGATGACTATCAATTTATTGTTACTTCTTTTATAATAATAATAATATTAAGATATTACCTTACTTGAAATATAATAGAGCTTATTAAAACACTGAGCAGAAAGATGAACTGGAGACATCTAAGTTTTGATTGTTTGTATGGCCACAAGCCTATAGCGAGCAGAAGAGTTCTGTTAAGGCTGAAATAGTTGGTCTCAGTGCAGATCATCTCTCTATGAGCTCCACAATACGACTGCGAAGGAAAAGAATGTGTTCATCCCCTCTTTCTTGCATACATCGACCAAGTATCCCTTCCCTCTTCTGACGTCGATTTTATTGTAATTTTCTTAATTTCGTTTGTATATGCCAAACAACATATGATACTACCGTGAGATTGAAACACTCGCACTTTAATAGTGTTTCTCGGAATACGATGTCTAACTAAGTAATTGATGAAATGAAATAATATCGAAATTTTACTTCATGTTCTCTTTATTATAATAAAAGGAAAAAAAAATTCTTAAGAGAGCTACTTGCGCGATAATGTAAAATACAAGATTCCACTATTATCTCGTAAATTAAATTCAATTTCATTAAAATTATTAAACATATTACTGCGCACGCTCTGACGCTCGAGGCTTGACGCTGCTATGTAAAGGCACCTTGAGATTCGTGTATTTACAAAAAATTCACACAGGCGTATTTTTTTATTTTCAGTACCGTAATTTTATTCTGATAAGCGCACTCATCGGGTACACTTGCTGGCAGAAATAGCCTTCAACTTTAACTTTTCTGAACTTTAGCTGAACCTCTATTTGGTAAGTTATAATTTAAATATAATTAAAATTAAATATCAATACGCAACTCTCTAATTTCATATTAACTCGATAAATATTTTTAATAAGTATAATTTTATATTTCTTATAAGTAAATTTTTATTATACATCACCCATCTATTAGTCATTTATGCACAACGCAATATTATAGAACTGTTTATGGAAATGATGACACTTTAGACAATCCGGCGTTGACAATTATATATTTTGCTCAAAAGTACAAGGAAGAATAATACAGTGCTTCGCTTCACGTTTCCACGAGGTCTCTCCTCCAGTGGCGCTCGCTCTTCTACGGTGGCACTCGCTTATCGCGCCGCGGTGGCACTCGCTTAACCTACGCGACGTACCGCACATGGTACTAACAAGGGAACCCCTCGAGGTGACAAATTCTGATTTTAATGAAACTTCGTGAACTTGTAGCTTATATAAAGAGATGAATTTAGAAAATGTCAGTTGCGGCCCAAAACGGTTTGAAGGGGTGAAATCACCCTTAACGTATATAGCGATTTTCAGCTTTTTCCGTTATATCTCGAAAAATATTCGCGATATAAAAAAATGTTTTATACAAAAGTTTTACAATAAAATTACCTCTATTTACTCACGTCAACGATATTTTTTTAGAATAATTATTTAACAATTTTTTTTCGAAAATTTTGACAAAAAATTGGTAAATAATTGTTCTGAAAACGCGAATGAATACAACTGATTTTGTTGTAAAACTTTTGTATAAAACATTTTTTTATATCGCGGACGATCCATTCTCTACTCGGTATATGATTACATTGGAAATACTGGGAATACGGAGGGACTGACGACCTTTCGAGTGTACGAAAGGCACGTATTTGTTTACATCTCATATTTGTTTAATTTTTGCCACAATCCAGTATGATGATTTGTTTATGACTAATCCAGTGCAATCATTGCACCAAATGGACCCATGAAGGCTGCACTACATATAGAGGATTTGGTAGCCATTTTTGTGACGATTGCCAAGACTGATTCTAATTTTTTAAATTTCATTTGCATTGCTCGAGTGATCCATTCGCTTTGCCTAGGGTGATCGGGCAAAGCGGATGATTTCTCTTTTTTTATGTTTTCAATAAAACGACATATTAATGTTCAAGTTTTAAAAATTTTTTAAATTTTATTTCAAAATTAAGTCCTTTAAAAGAATAAAAATGATTTCTGATCTCAATTTTAATTGTGTAATTTTTTCTTCTCAACCTTAACACATCCGTGCTGCTCGGGCTTCCCCTATATGACAGTAAAGTAAGATACTGATTTAACCAGCTGGAATTAAAGTTTTTCTCTTTATAACATCTACTTCTAATAAGATACTTTTAAAATATTTTATCGCTTATATCAATACAGGTATATAATACATTAATTTTTTAAAATGTAATCTGCATGATTAATATTTTTAGTAAGAATCAAATAATGGCTGATGTATCAGCCATCTTGTTGTTTATAATGGTATCACTGTTGTCACTAATAATTTTTTATCTTCTAATTTTTTAGTGTATATGTCGTTTATTAATGAAAATTTTGAACTTTAATATTTATGTTTAAAAATATTAATATGAAATTAACTAAAAATGATATTTAATGTAATAATAATATATCGCTCGTGGAAAATATATTTGACTTTAAGTAATGTAAAATATTTAAACATACGTTGTTTATTATTTAGTCTAAAATTGGACAGACAATGATCGACATGATGTTGATTGCAAAAACTTGAAATAACTTCATTTAAATAATTTAAATTTTTTTTTAACAAAATAATATTTACATTACACGTTTAAAAATAAGTCTATATATTTTTTAAGCATGGATGCCTTCATTTTTTTATTAATTAAATCCCTACTGCTAACCATAAATTAATATTGGTTCATTACCGCGTAGAATATATTACAGTAAAGTAAGATACCGAGGCCTTCATTAGCTGTAAATATAAACATTCTCTCTTATCTCATGTACGTATATTAATAAAATATATAATTTTATTATGTGTATTTTATTAAAATATTTCTACATTATATATTACCGTAGCAAAATGTTCTACGGATCCTTCAAATATTCCACCGACGTTTAAAACGAATTTCTTGGTGTCCCTTTGCAATAAGAATAATATTACTTTTTGTATATGTAATGGCATTCTATACCATTGAACGTTGTACCTACGGATTTGAATATATGTAAATAACACCGATCGCTAACTCAAGATAGGAACTTTTTATTAAATACAGTGGAACTTCCCTAACTTCAGTACTCTGTAACTTGACGTCGTGTATAAAAATTTTCATTGTAAAATAGGTTATGTTGCTTTGGCGTCTGCGCAAACGTTCTCATTCTATATATAATACATACTATTTCTTCTTAATGCTCTGCCCCTAATGTAAGAATGGAGAGATTGTCCTTTTTAGCTTCTCACAGCACTGCGTAGTAGAAGTTATGGAAGTTCCACTGTATAAATTTCAGCATACAGGGTGGATATCAAGTACTGTAAGAAATTTTAAGAGATGATTCCTTACACAAATTCCAGACGAAAACTTCGTATGATCATACGTTCGAAACGGCTTAGTTTCAAAGATACAGGGTATTAAAGTTGAAAAAAAAATTTTGTTTTTTCTAAAAATTGTGATAACTATTTGGGTTATTTTAATAAAACTTCGTGTATATGTTTAAAAATTCATGGAAATAATCTAAATGGTTTTAGGAATTTTTGGAAAAGTAAAATTTTTCCTTCAACTTGGATATATACCCTGTATTTTTTAAACTAAGCTATTTCGGATATATGGTCATACAAAATTTTCATCTTGAATTTGTGTGAGGAATTACCCCGTAAAATCTTTTAGAATACTTAGTATCTTTCCTGTAAACTATTATAATTAAAAATGCAGGAGATTCTACATTTACTATTGCGTCTACTGAAAAGAGGATGTTTATACATAATTTCTTATAAAAATATTTCTCTTACGCAGTAAAAAATACATGATTATTGTGGTCTATTATATTCTGTCCCATATAATTAGCTAGAAACATATACAGACTGCTTATAACCATATACATAATCGATAGAAAAAATTCGTTCAAATTATTTTTGGATGATGCTATCTGAAAAACCTAATAAACGAATTTCAGTGAAATTACCGATCTCATATTTATACATATATATTGTATAATGTATACATATATGTATATAATATATACATACATACATTACCTATACGCGTATATATATACAGGGTGTTTGGCGACTACCGCATTTTTTGTCATACGTGGG